CTACTCACGAGGTAAAATTCACTCACGGCATTTAAACACGAGAATCATCGTCGTCCTCTCTTCCCTTGGTTGATTTCTGTTCACGCTGACATCAGTGCTGAAACATTCGCTGATTCATTCAGTCAACTCTGTTCTATAGACTCAATTTCATGTTTTTTATTAGGTCATTTAAAGATTTTAAAACTCTGTCCAATGTCATCTATACAGATGTTTTGATGATGATGTGATGGAGCAGGAGCATTGTGTACATTTTGAAATCAGATTACAAACTGAATTGATTAGACTTATGTCTGTTTCGCTATGGCTTGTATTGTAACTATCCCAAAACTTGATCAAATCAGAAAAAAATCTTAGCTTGCAAGGTTTTAGATATCTTTAGGAAGGCTGGCTATTTTTACTGCTGTGTTTGTTAAACTGGCTCCTTATCCATGATCCTTGTTCATGATCTTTGCAGGCAGACAGCCAAGGCAAGGTTATAAAGTAGCCTACAATGTAAATAAATAAATAAATAAATAAATCCACATTTCTTCTCAAAACCAGATTTTTCCCCCATTATTTTTGGTAAGTTTCCCAGAAAGCCACACATTTATTGCATTAAAGTATGTAATCCTAAAGCTCAGAAATACCCTAATTCCATATGTTACTCCAAACACATTGGCCAGAGTGATCAGAAATAATTTTGATCAATAAAAGCATGTCTACTGCATGCTTTAGTGAATGTTTAAGCATGTTATATATAAAGGATGAATCATCTAAGTTTGAGGTGATTGGTTATTTATATATATTTTATTCATCACAGGTAAGGAAATGTGACTGTGACTACTAGTTGTTTTTTAGTACAGCTAACTTTGGTCTTACAACTCGAATAGCAAATAAAAAAAAAAAAAAAAATCCTCCATTCAGTGCTTGTAAATAAATAAATAAATAAATATATATTTTTTTTTAAAGAAGAAGAAGCTGTGAGTGAATTTGCAATCAGCCTTCTGGGACATGACACAATTTAAAGTAAGTCTCTATACCAAACAATGTAAATTAATCAGCATTATGTAAATGATTGTCCATTTCTGAGCAATATTTAAGATCTTTTGTGCTGGACCTCATTAGGTTAACACATGCAGGAAGACATGGCTTTTCTGAGCTACAACTCTTTTTTTGCTATATGCCATTTTGAGATCATGGCACAGCTTGGTGCTATGGGATAATTAGGGTCGCCTAGTTTATTTATTTATTTGTTCCCAGATGATCCTCAGTAAGCCTTTTCAGTCTGACCTGAATAAAGTCGACTGGGATCAAAGTGACCCAGGCTTTACCTGCATATCCAGTGCAAGAGAAAAAAAAATCCTTTTATCTATAAATAGTTAGCCAATTTTCTGCTTCATATTCAGGAGTGGAAGATTGTGACAGTGTCTGCACAGCCTATAAACCCCCCTGCCTTGGAGCATAGAGAAGATGCAGAGATAGATGACTGGACCTTTTGCTGAGAGATTGCACTATTTTGCCATGTTGACAGAGTGCAGGAGAGAAGAAAGGTCGAATAACAAATGAGGTATCTTTGGGTGAAGGGATGACTTCTTAGTTGAGAGAGACAGTCATTGCTGTATGGAAAGCAGGATCCAACAACAAAAACTTACATCTGACTTTAGAAAAGTTACACCACCTCTGTTTAATTACTGGACTTCGTTAAAGATTCCACCGACATTATTAAAGTATAATAAGCAATAAAAGTTATTTGTGAGTGGCATTTGGAAAGATATTTAAAAAGACACCACTTCAGAAATGCTAAAAGTTGGCATATTCCTATTCGTAGTCATCCGTCAGAAAGACAGATAATCATTCGCAGCTCAAAGCGTATGGCAGGTACTCTCCGCAACAAAATGCTTTAAGTAATCCTCCTCTGAACCTGTCCAGATTGAAGCTGCTAAGACAGCGCAGACAAAGAGGGCAAGCCAAGGTGGAGTGTTAGTCGTCTCCTGTCTAATTTCCTTCCCTCTTGACTGTGCTAATGGCCTGAAATGTGCCGTGCTAAAAATGTGTCTCCCAGCAGACAACCCACGATGCCCACCAGCTCTTCATTTCTCACAACCATGTGCAAATGGAGAGGGTTGAGTGAAAAGAGAGTTCACTCGTCCTCCCATCCACCCGCCACTTTCTTTCCACTTTCCCTCCACTGGGGAAGGGGCTGATGGGTAATGGCACTCGGAGTAATTGTAGGTCTCTGATGATGGACCTGAGCATTGCACATGTGAGAGGAAAAAGGCCATCTTCATATGAATATTTTTATCAAACGCCACGGCTGAGAGTTTAAATAAACTGAAACTTTCTTTTAGAGTTTAGAGAAAAATTGGGAGGGACATTGAAGGGCCCATGAATATATTCGAAAGGCCACCAGGCCATGAAAAAAACGTGTCTTTGAGCACAATAAAATTGCAAAACACTGTCAAATGGAAGTTCTTATTTTTAAAGCTGATGCGTTCATGTAATTCTTCCGATCTAGAAATGTTATCATCATCCAGTTCTGTATTAGCTGTTTTTAGTTGTTGTTGTTAAAACATTATCACTTAAATGTTAGTCAGCCAAGCTCAAATATCTTTCCCTGCAGCCATTTTATTTCAATTTTCTACAATTCATTAGTAATAAAGATATAAATAAAATTAAATAAAAATGAAAGTAAAGCACATCAAGGTCACCTGTCCAGATTGTTCCTAAAAAGAATGGCCATTTTATTCCCAGTGGGTCTCATTCTCTTTCACACACAACAAAATGAGATTGGAGGAATGTCTTGAAATTAAAAAAAAAAAAAAAAAAAAAAAAAAAAAAAA